TCAATAACTATAAACATTAACATAATCACCAACACTTAACATGATAAACATTAATTAACATGAGATGAACATTAATCATTGCATCCCGTATATTTCTAAATTTTCTGCGCCTTATAATGCATCCGATAGAAGTCATTACGTTTCATAAGTGACTTTTCACAAGATGTTCATTTATTGGTCTGGGACTCTACAGCGTCAGTTAATTACGACTTTGTCATTTGCACCGCAGCTAAGTGATTCGTAACGATGCGTCTGACACGTGTAAATACGCGATGATGAGGTGCAGCCGGATGTCGATCAACCAAGTGGCAGCAGGATTGTTTACTGTAAGTCCGCACGTCGCCCGCTGAACAGGCCCGTTCCCGCGCTACCTAGACGGCTGACGGTGAAGACGACAATGACAGATGACTCACAGTTATATAATTCGCTTGTTGGTGCAGCTGACAACGTATTGCAGGAGTTATATAAGCTTACCTTGCATGCAAAGCTTATGACGCCGATAACCTGCATGACGTATATGGAAGCCTGCAGCAGAATAGAACATCCTCCAGTCCATTATTTTGGAATAGCCGATCAAATTGAAGGGCCGTACCTATGGCAAATTGTTAAAAAGAAGCTGATTCACACGAATATACTTTAACTATTTTATATTGGTGGTGTTTAAGCTAATAATTATAGCATGCACTGATGCTTCCAGTGTCCATTTTTTCAGGGCATATCTTGGCATTCTTTGAAATGTATTTGTTGCGAATGGAAAACCGTATCCATGTGCAAAAATCGACAACAGATGTTAATCGAATCGGGAATATTTAACATAGAAAATAATGCACTGTAAATACCTGTGAGGTATCGGTGGAACAAATTAATTGTCTACAGTTCCTCAGCATCAGTTGATTGCACCTATGTGTTGATTCGCTGTAGCTACCTATTGCTTTTAACTGTCTGTATTTCCTAATACAATGCCATTTCTTAGCGCTGATAGGTCAATGGCATATTTATTATCTGTAGAAAACTGACCAATAGTCATGGTGACCATGCTCTTTTGATTAACCGAGTATGGAAAATGAGCAAAATCCTTAAGACTCACTTCATTCGATCCAAGCATTGCGCATTCTAACGTACTGAACGAATGTATGTCAGCTAACGGGTATCTTGACAGGTGCCTTTTACGGCACTCGGATAGCGTTCTGATTGTCAGTCGGGAGTGTAACCTTACAAAGAACATGTCACGCAATAGGATACAGTCTTGGGTTCCGAAACATTCATTGATTGCTAAAAGCTTTAAATTGTTCTCTAATCTCTTTTTGTTCGGAAAAAAAGGTTTTAAGTTACTTGTTGAAGCATTCTAAGCCAAGAAGGCAACATGTCATCGTTTGCATTTCAGCAGTAACAGATGGTAATCTTTAGAATTAAGGTATTGCGTTAGGGGAAGAAATAAGAAAATTTTCTTCACAACCTGCAAACAAATGGTGCACTGCTTGCAACTGATGCACAATGCAGCAACGTCGATACATACTCACAAACTGACCAACGGATTAACTCCCAAAGAGGCGAAAGCCGCGGACCATCCCGTATTGCTGACATGCCGCAGACTGCAATGGGGAAAATCCGTGCACCTGCTAAGAACACGCTGCACGATGCACATTCAACATTTGCTGAGCGCGACCTGTGCTGGGCCCCCAAACACGGTCACTAAGGCGCGGCCTTGGGCCGCGGGACATGAGACAGCAAAAAACTCTCTGGATTCTGAGCCTTAGGGGAGGTTGCATGGCAACAATCATCAAAACGACCAGAAACAATACCAGTTAAAACACCCCAGGATGCATGGCTAACATCAATTCATATCTATCCAGGCATTGCATGGTAAGTGTGCTTCTCTGCACAGGTATGGTAAACAGAGCGAGGCAGTCATGGAAAAAAAATTATAACTGGTTTATCTGGTTGTGGACTTAAAGATACACATCCAAATACTACTTCAGTTATCATTCATACAACGTGCTATAAGTCGGTCACATTCTACCTATGCGTCATCTCATGTGACCGCCCTCCGCGTCTATGGCCTCAAGACGGGCCCGAAAGCATACTGTTTGTCCATTTATCATCCATTACCTTCGTTCCTTACGCCAAAGAGCATATTTACTGATGATGAGACGTTCATTAGCCTTCTATAAAAAAAAACTCTATGCATAGAAATTCATTGGACTTAAATGGGCGGAATTGGAGGGCCAGAAGTCGGTCCATCTCAGCTGCAGAGGTGCCCCGCACAACATTATTTCGTCCTTAATGCGGTTTCAGCAAGGACAGAGTCCTCTCCTGAGACCTCATAAAGGCTTTTTTATGTAGATTGGAAGAAATAATTTCGAGTCTCATGAAATGCGAAAAATATTGAGCGTATGTTGAATTTACCATTAGCGAATAGCCATTTAGTGTAAGGCTTTGACCAAGGTTTTAGTAAAGGGTTAAAAAACATTTAATTGCGCTGAAAGTCTAGAGGCTGAAACATACTCCGCAATCAGGAACACGTCTGCAAAAGCCTATTCAAATGCGTTAAACCGCGGTTGCATCAACCGTACACACCTTCCTCCTTACGTCCGTGAGGTCATCTCAGGTCATAAAAGGTCTCCAGCAGTCTTTGGACAATAACTTCATCAGACGATTGTCTGGCGATCGACTGATACACAACAGCCGTTTTCACGACGGGCTATCCGGCGAATGCACCTGATTTGACCAAATCTGCACACAATTTCTTTTGCAGCAAATATCTTCATTTTATGTTTATTTCAGTGTTTTAATGCTCTCTGATAATATGACAAAGCAGGCATATAAGCAACTAGTGCAACCCTAGCTGATAGCTGCTAAGAGACACACTGAATCTGATTTGACCAAATCTGCACCTGATCTGTACCAGATGTGCACCAAATGTGTACCAGATGGCCGTCGTGAAAACGGCTAATATGACCTTTTCCGTGTAGGTCATGACTTTGACCTTATGTCAACTTTTCCATTTGAACTTTTTATGTCAAATTACAGCTCATTACGATGCGTCTCGACCATCGGAACACGATGCTGGTTAGCGCAATGTCATGCTCTTCTTGAGTCAAAAGTTATTATAGGAAAATCGTAAAAACGGCTATTTTAAGTTTTTGTCCTCCTAAGAACTAAACCGCTGACGTTAGATCAGAACTGAAAGAGCATAACAGAGCTATCGAATTCGCTTTTCTGCATCGCTGTAGCTCTATTGGCTTCCGATTTATGCGCCGATTAGTCAAAAAATGTTGAAATGGGTAAAATTTGACCTGTGAAGACCTCTGGTGACCTGACCATTGGCCTGACCTAAACATGACCGAAGTACCTACTTTCTTCGCCGAAGTACATACTTTCGACGCGGTTAGCGCCGAGCACCGGTCCGGCGCTGGTTATGGCACTTTTTCGATGTTGGGAGTGTCCAAACCGGTAATAGCAAGCCAGACTCCGAATTCACTATCTCAACTCAATTCTGAATACTGATGTAAAAGTGGGATTGTCATTTTAACTCCGATTTTGTAGAAAAATTGTAATATTCTACTTTTAATGACGGACAACGCTTTCCATGGATTTCTTTCATGGATTTTCCATGGATTCCTATTTCGCACAAGTTGGCGATCTGGCTAGCAATGTCAGGGCCGTTGAGGATGGGGTTTTGCATTCGTGTAACCCTTCCAGCTTCAGTAAATTGTAGACTAGAAAGACGTTCAATGTGGATAGTGTAGCACGGTATAAATGGCTGCGTCGGTCACTGATCATGGTCTAGGAAGCTGGGACGCGGAGGATGCCACCGGACCGCATCGTCATGATGCGAGACAATGAGTGGGATCTAAGAACGTGCTATTTTTGTGCGTTATAGGTACTAACCAAATCTTGGTAAAACGTTTGATCCGAGGGGTTTAATCCAGTGACCAGTTGAATGAATAATAAAATATTGCTAGGCATAAGAAGCCAGGAGAGGTACAGAAAGACCATTCCTTATTTGAAGGGAAAGAACCTGCATGGCCCAGTAGCGGCGGAACACCCTCAATTAAGGGGGGGGGGGGCACTGATGACTTTTGGCCCCATTCTTTCCACGCAACGCCCATAGGGCTAATGTTAAAATGCGAAAATCAAAGGGGGCACGGTGCCCAGGTGCCCTCCCCGTTCCGCCGCCTATGGGAAATGCGATTTAAATCGACAGGATTGTATGTATAATTCAAATTATGTTTTTTTCGCAAGTCAAAACAAGCTGAATAACATATATTTCATCCATAGGTATATACTACGTCTTATTGCGCCGAGAGTAGCGCAAGCGTCTGAAAACAACGATTGTCGCTGTAGGCGGCAACCTTGGGAGTTAACCCACTCGAGGCTGCACTTCCGGACCTCACGCCTGCCGACCAGTCATTGCTGTTCAGGGACACTCGGTAGCCTTTTCTCGCGTGAATCAGTTGTATTTATACTGCCGTGCACCTGTACAATGAACAGTGTAAACGGCTTCACCGCGATTTTCTCAATTTCTCATCGATCACTACTGTCGCCTTCGTTCCTTTTGGATGGCTACCTATTTGTTTTGAAGCCTATTTCGCATCCCGAATTTGGTTGTGAATGCGATTCAAGAATGTATTGCATTTAGCCGCTTCCAACTGTTTTCTTGCATTGTTGTTCATGTCCGACCACTGGCAGCCCGAAATCGAGGGCAAGTGGGAGGGGCGTGAGACAGTGACATATGTTAACGGCAAAACGTCGGTCGTTCATTACAGTGTACTTTCCGTGTCATAGGTTTGATATTAAAAAAAAGAACAGGTCTAATATAAAGCTCACGTCCCACGCCCAATGCCCAATTGCCTCCCCCCCCCCTCGGCCCTCCTACCAGCGTTCAGGCGAAATCACAATCACAGCTAACACTGTTCCTGCAACGAAAGCTTCTTCAAGCATTGAGCAGTTGAGCACGTCGTGGTGTTCGTTTCAGTAACTGAGCTGTGGGTACTCACATTGCTTCTCTGACGACAATCAACTCCGCAGATTCAGTCGATGACTGTTGGCTGATTCTCCTCCGTTCAGCACGTCGTCCACGGCGAAAACGTGTCGGCTGCGCCAAGACAGAGGTCCATGCGCTGCGGAGTGCCTGAGCGGTCTGCAGCTCCCTGCCGCGGCGCTGCGACGGTGCCACTGGCGGGCGACTGCCGCCGCGACCGCCGCGCCGGCCGCGCGCCGCGAGGCCACAACGAGCTGCTATTGCCCGCAACCGGTCGTGAAAGATGATCCAGATAGCACGCTCTAATCGCCAGTGAGGCTGCCGTACACACCCGTCAGCGCTATGTATGTGCATTGTGCAGCGAGTGAGTTTTTTTTTTTTTTTTGCCGGGAATAACAGCGACTTTGTTACTTATTGAATTACGGTTTCACTAATCACAGCCAATTCCAAAGTTCTATGAACAAACTGGCTTGAAGCAATGTCTCCTCTCATTTTTTTCATGTAAATCAATGACCTTTTTAGGTACCTTACTTAACCCAGGGAGCCTATAAAAGGAAAACCTCACAAAGGAGTTTCCATTGGGCGGGGGGGGGGGGGCAGAGGCGTACGGAGCTAAAACTTGGTCCAATTGGGTACCCCAATTCCCATATCCTGTTTTTCCGTTGGATTAAGGCCACCTATTTTTTTTTTTTTTTTGTCACAGCCCAACGATGAACGTTTTCTCTTTAAAGGGACCCTCCCACCTTCAAAAAAGTTTATGAATTGGCATGAAAGTGATGTCGCTCGGTTATGAAAGAGCGAAAACGAATATCTACCAAATTTCACCGAAAAATATTCACCGGTTTTCAAGATATTAGACTTTTACTTTTGTTTACTTTTTGGGATCTCCACTGTTCCTTGCGACTTTATTTGGAAGCAATAGTTTGGCAGCTGAAAGTGCGGCACTTGTTGCGCGCAAAGCAGCGAGTTCAGTGACAGCAGCATATATCACCGTGTGCTACAAAACGTTTTAGTCAAACATTTAAAAATCGTTAGATATCTGCGCTGACGTCACACATTCAAAGGGGTATTCCTATGCATTAGCCCCTCTGAATCAAAATGCTGCAATTTTGAAATTCAATATTTCCGAGTTAAGGCATTTCTCGATGTTGTGAGTGCCGAAACCGGTAATTGTAGCCAGGGACCCCATTTTGGCTATCTCAACTCAAATCTAATGTTAAGGTGAGAGGGTCCCTTTAACCCGCGCACCGACGGGGGGCGGATATCCGCCCCCCCCCCCCCTTGAGGTTTTTCGTAGATAGCGGGAAAACCGCGGCGCTATGCGCCGCGAAATTTAGTACGACTATTCTCTCATCAATTTTACACATGGTGTGCAAGTTTGAACTAGTGTTCGCCATGGGCCGGGCCAGCCCAATGGGCCATGGGTTGGGCTGGGCTACGGGTTGGGCTGGGCCCTAAAATATAAAGGATCGATGGGCTGTGGATGGGCTGGGCCAAGAACTGTATAGTGGACTCAGGGGTTCGCGACTGAGACAATAACTATAACTACATAGCTTAACTGTGCAAGACTAAAAAATGAGTTAATAAGGCACGCATGAATGTGCATTGTGCATGTTGCTCGCAAAAGATTGTTGCTTCACTACCTTTGGGTACCTGTGTGGTGTTAATAATTTTTAATCCATTCATTTTTGACGGGCTGGGCCGGGCTGGGCTTAAACGCTTTTACCATGAATGGGCTCGGGCTGGGCCGGGCTGTGAACCCATGGGCCTGGGCTGGGCTGGACTGGGATTTTGCGGCCCGTGGCGAACACTGGTTTGAACCTCCTAACTTTCAAGGTCAGGTCACCAGCTCACTTTGAATGACCCAACCTCAAGTCACTTTTTTGCAACTTTGTCACCGTGCCAGAGCTACAGTAGATGTCGGAAGCCTTTGAAAGTCGCAGGATGTTATAAGGTCATTAGTAACTACAATTTGTATATCTCGGAATTTTGATATCGATGACCTAAGGTCAGGTCAATTTCTTGACCTCCCGATTATACGTCAATAGGGGAAAAATCAACTCCCTGTTTTTACCACCAAAAACGGGTCGGAATGGCCCCATAAACATACACATGACTTCATATACGATCAACCTTTACTATCTTGAGGTCTGTTTTGCTGTTGGGCAGCTGTAAGGTCATGTGACGTCATCAAAGGTTACCAAAGGTTTTTTGCCAATAACTCTGTACAGGAACAAGATACATCCGCTCGGATGATCTCATTGTGTTCAGCTCGTCAAGGTGCATCGAATGATATACATGTTGACCTCGAGGTCACGTGACCTGAGGTCAACCTTTGACCTTGACCTTTCGAGGTCAACATATATATATCATTCGATGCGGATTGATGAAAGGATCACGATGATGCCCTTAGTTTGTTCCTATCTTGACTAATTCGAAAGTTATTCGAGAAAAACTCTCCATATCTAGCGCCGCCATTTTGACTTTTTTGACCCCTGTGACGTCATCTTTGACCTGACCTGAAAATGACCTTTGTAAAAATTATAGACCTTGTCCGTGCGTATCCCATGCCGTTTACCGCTTGTCGCTATCTTGCTTCGTTCTCGAGATCTCAGGGGGGCGGTCATCCGCCCCATCCCCCCCCCCCCGTCGGTACGAAGTTGGCGCAGACCCCCGTCGGTGCGCGGTCTTTTATGTTAGGTTGTAGCCCCCTCACATTGACACACCGCATAGAAAAAAAATCGAACTTCCAGTTTAATGCTATTTGGCTCAAAATTTTGCGTAGAGTCTGAATTCCCTTTTACCACTTGGGGTAGGACGGGTCAGGTTATAAGTAAGGCCAACCAGTAGGTGTTTCGTGATTCTGACACCCACCATAATGCATCACTGCATGGGACTACCATAATTTCAGATGTTACCACGTTTGTAAGACACAGAAAGGTCTGGAAACGCATATGTAGGAAGATAATGTGCGCTGACCTACGCCAAATCACTATTCTGGCCCATGACATGGTCTCGAGAAACATGCCACAGGTCAAGACAAGAGTCATCAAGGTCAGAGTCATGAAATTTTCAGGAAATATGTAAAATTGATTACCTCGAGGATACTAACAGTTTCACCACGATCGGCTATTTTGTACGCGAGTTTTTTTTTTGCGAAAAACCAAGGGGTCGTTACATACATCCGACGCCCTGTAATAAGTGCGCGGGTTAATCCCTCCCAAGAGCTGGAAGCAATCATCCCTCATCCTATAGTTCAGCCTGTGATGATCATATTTGACCGAAAAAGTTTCATCTAAAAAAAAAAATGAGCACACCCGAAAGAATAATTTCACTTCTTCGCGTTGAGCATTTGATTGATTAAGAGGACGACCCACCGGGACGCCTCCTTCTCAGAGGCGTCCACTTGTCCGCCTTTGGGAGTCAGTCTATGTTCGATTCTGGCATCCATACGCTCGTCTTAGGCAGGTCTGAAATGTTCTCGGTAGACCGAAGGTTCGAAAGGACCCAAACCCAACTAATAGCCGATAGGTAGGTAGGTACTAAGAAAACTAAAATTAGCCATAATAAAGATGGATGGTCATGAAAAATGTGCATTCAGGATTACTTGTTTGGTTAGCAAGAAGTGAAAGTTTATCACTTTTCTATATGATTAGCTTAACTGCCTGCCCCCCCCCCCCCAGTGACGGGATTTCACCTCCATTGGGTGACAGGGGGAGCAGAGGCATAACTGCAGGGGCCGCCCCCTCCCCCCTTAACATGCTCGAGGATGTCTTGTTTCAAGTGTGACTTAACCCTCGCCCGCACATGGGAGGGGGTTGCCCCTCCCCCCCCCCAGGTAGTCTTCCTGCTCTGCACTCAACATTTTTGTATATAGCTGCTCCTCTATCCTTTCTTGATGTCCACTGAAAATTTCAAGTTTCTGTGGTTTTTGGTTTCGGAGATATGACCTTGTTTTTGCAGGTCATGTCATGACTCAAATGGCCAATTCTCAACATCTTGCGTAGGCTATGGGCCTTGTGAGCTTTTGACACCTTGATTTCGGCCTTTTTTGCCAGTCTTACCTTCTACCTATCATGGAACATGTTGTTCGACGATGTACAGATGTCAAGGTCAAGGTCAAGGTCAACCTAGGTCATCTAAGATAATTGCGTTTTAGGCAAGCGGAATTTACTTTTTGTGAAGTTTTTATGACTCCATTTTTGGTAAAAGCTTCTCAGATCATGATCTCATGTAATATGGACACATAAACAATCGGTGCACACATCAGTATACACACAGACACACACAGACATACAAACACATATAATTGACCTTGACCTAACTTGATCTGAAATGACCTCAGCAGCAAAAACCTGGTCGGGTAGTGTGACAAAGAGGTTCTAGCTGGCTTGGCACCAGAAAACGGCATCGTCATCGGTAGGTATATGATAAGCAGCGCACTTGATATCCAACGGTGACCCAAAACAGCAACATTTTTTTAGTTTGACCTGACCTGGAAGGTCAATGACTGACCTGAGAACGTAAAACTGGGTATCATTGGATTTGTCTCTTCCCAAAGAATCTTTTTGGTCTTTACCGCTAAGCTCTATCTCCAACAGGAACGAAATGGCGCGGGGGTGGCAACCCCCCCCCCCCCCCATGTGCGTTCTAGGATGGGAAAATGGCATGTGCGGGCGAGGGTTAAGTTTCATGCTTCTCTGAAATAGATGTCTCTATACTTAAAGTCTCAAAACTTTTCATGGAGAGCACCTTGCGGCCTTGGCACCTTGTACTGTACACGTATGTACTTATGAACTGCAAATCGACAGTGGAGCTAAAGTGGATGGTTTTAATTTCATAGTGACGCATCAGCAAAGAAAGGTAGAAGTTTTAGGAAATAACGGTATTGGGCAGGGCTGGCTCATCCCGACTCGACAAGCGCACGTGCACGCCGAATAGGGCTGTAAAGCTGTATAATGGTCCGATGGTGACAAAGGCAGAAAAACTGAACTGATCCAGTGTTCTGATTATACTTGAATCTTGAGTTGTATAGTGGCTAAGTCGTTGGCATGTCCGTAAGAACGTCAAATAGGTTTCTTGTTTGTCTTGTTTTGAACTTTCAACTTTTCAAGCAATAAACTTTGGCATTATAGTTACATTTGGCAGCTATCTGGGACAGCGATAAGGTTTGGTCACTTATAACATCGCAGCCGTCCGACCCTTCGCACCAGTGACGTCAC